TATGCTTTACAGTGCTGCAATGACCAATAGGGAGGGGCAATCAAGTAAAGTTGCATAAATCTAGTGTTTAAACAGGTTCACTTGATTCTCACAAATGGTCATATTTGAGACCGCGCTACCATAAAGATAGTCGTATCGTTAACGATTAATTCAACTTGGTTGTTTAAAAGAACTTGTCGAATGTTCACTTCATGTTTAATGGTCAGCGTGTAAAGCCCATAAGTAATGCATTTTATATGGGTTTTTCAGGAGTAGTGCTAATTAAGAAAGTTTGACTCCTGCGTAAGTTGTATAACTTTTTTTTCATTCCATGTCTAATGGTGTAAAAACTGATATACGTTTGTTAAAATTTGGTATAAAATTTTAAGTTTATGGAACAACACGATAAGGTTTTAACTTATTAAATTTTTAAATCTTTAGTATGAGTTAGTGCTTATTCACAATGGTCATAAAGGATAAGAATGTCCTAAGCATTAATGCATAAAAATTTATGTTTAGTGCTCTATGGTTGTATTCGTTCACAATGAGCATAATGCTTAGGACATCCTGATGCTTTATGCCCATTGTGAATGAGCATTTATGCTTATTGTGAAGGAATTCAAGCATAGAGCATTAAACATAAATTTTTATGCATTAATGCTTATTATGCTTTATGCTCATTGTGAACGAATACAAGCATAGAACACTAAACATAAATTCTTATGTATTGATGCTTATGATATCCTTATGCTTTATGACCATTGTGAATGAGCACTTAGAATCTTATTATACAGGGTCGGTAGAATGTATGTAAACGGTTAAATATCTTGAGAACCAATTGTACAAATCAACTGAAATTAGGTATCGGGATACAAGAAGTGTGCTGTAATTATTCGTCAAAAAAAATTTTTTTTTGCTTCATTTGTTTTCGAGATGCAATGCCAAGTTATTTTTTTTAATGGCACAACCATATAATTAATGCATTTTTGAACAGAGATTTATTTCTGAATTCCTTGATTTGGCACAATCATACTTTTTTCTGATTGAAATGGCAAAATAAATTATTAAACAATATTTATATTATTTCTTTAGCATTTAAACATGTCTTTTCTTATTAAATAAATTAACCAGTAACAATAAAAAAAAAATTAAACTTTTGTTTTCTACAAAAGATGCTCAAAATGCTCTCCATACTGGCAGTAAAAAAGAAGCTGAATAAAATTTTGTAGTAAGTTAATGAGAATTTCTGGACGAATACTAGCAATTTCGTTATGTATACGTTCCTGTAAGTCTTCAATGTGAGTGAATCGGTCTATTAATATAAACGCGATTCTTCACATAGCCCCACAAAAAAGTCAAGCGGTGTCAAATCCGCTGACCTGGCAGGCCACTCATTAGTACCCCTTCGGCCTATCCATCTGTCAGGAAAAGTTTCATTTAAGTACTGTGCACTTGACGTCCAAAATGAGGTGAAGCACCGTCTTGTTGAAACCAAATAGTTTTTGTTGGTAATTACGGATTTTGGTAATTGGGAAACAATTCTCTAAGTCTAGGCACTACACGTTTCCGCAACAGCCTTAAGTATCCCTCAGAATTTAAATTGCCACTAATAAAAAAAGGACCAATTACATGGTAACCAATAATACCGCACCAAACATTCAGTTTTTCTGGACGCTGTGTGTGGATTCGCTCCATCCAGTGTAGCTTTGTGTCAGATCGGTATCTGCAGTTGTTCACATGACCATTTAAACAAAACGTAGATTCGTCAGAAAACAAAATCCTGGTGGTAAAATTTCCGCCTTGTATTCTGTTCATAATAATTTCGGTAAATTCAACTGTGCGATCAAAATCATCTTCGTTTAGCTCTTGTACCAAATGGATTTTGTATGGGTGAAACTTTTCCTTTTTCATTATTGTTTCAAGTGATTTTCTACTAACATTGTGATTCAGCGCTAATTGTTACAATGACATTTTGGGATTTTCTGTTGCGTCTAAGAGGACACGAAACGGGGTAGTTCTTCGTAGTAGATGTGTATCAGATCAGCTTTAACGAAAGTCGGCTTATAGATAAATCGCTTAGAGTCAATATTGGGCTGAGTGCGCTCTGGTCTGTAGATCAAACAAGTTCTTAGGCGACGAGATGTTCATAATTAGTATTGTACGACGAAAAATATTTGCAAATGACTCCAATTATGGGAATTGCAGCTGTAAAATTTCCGACCACTTCGGAAAGTGCACCCAGCATAAAACTGTCAATCAAGTTTACTCGCCACCCTTACCTTTCCAGGACCGTATTTGTTTTAATACTTGAACAGGTAGATTGTTAAACGAACCACTTTCAAGGAATTTAATCTTAAAACTTAAGGACACATGAAAGTGTGGTTTTTAAAACTTTTTAAATCGTTGCAAATACATATTTCCTAGAAAAATCCCAATAAAAATTAACTTTACCATGATTCATACATAAACGCTCCAAAATTTGAAGTCCGGCTCTGGCTGAAGTCGTACCTCCGTTGCGAAGGTTTCGTAATGGTTTTATTGCAGGTTGCGGTCCAAAGTACTAAAGACCCCTCATAAAGTAATTGACAGCGTTTGCAATTATCTTTTGTCGTACTTTATCTGCACTTTGTGTGCGCTGTTTTCTTTTTGTGGCATGTTATTTGTCTATTACTAAAAGTTTCTGTGAATGCTGTCTGTCTCTTATTACATTTTTAAAACTAGATGATAAATTTGCGACTCTGTTCAAAGCGGCATAAAATTTTTCATGCAACATAGAATTTTAAAATTCATCATTCAAAACTGTTGAGCTTCCTTGCCCACTTTGTTTACAAAAATAATTAGTACATTTAGAATGGTCATTCAGGATGTAATTTTTTTATATTCAAATTTTTTTATGCTAACGAACATTTTCGTTTTTTTTTGAATCTTATATCTGGAAATCCAACCCTGAAGCGTTATATTCTGCCTAGATATATTTGGCTAGGAAAAAATACGATCAACTGCAAGAACTAAAGTTGTTCGTGTCGGAGGTGTTTCAGTCATTTTACACGGAATTACCATTTGCAGATGGTTATCGAAGTGATGACGAGTTCGATGTAAATTGTACTTTTTCTTTTTTCTTATTTGAAATAAGTAGACTTAGTTCAATTTTTCATAGAATATTGGAACAGGATTAAACAATTGCATTTTTTACTGTTACATTTGGACGAAAATAAAAAGTTGTGTTAGACTAAACCTTGTAGGTTTCTCAATGTATTTCCTGCAGCGTGTTAATTTTCAACTTAATTTCTTTCAAAATACGTACATATGGATTTCAATCGTTATTCCTTGTACTGTAACTTCATTTGAGATACACCTGTTAAAACCTTTATGACTTAAGCGGCTTAAGCCAAACACCCTTATGAGTCAAACTGGCTATTGTATTACTTAATTCAGTTCACAGCTACATTATGCGAACAATGGACAGTAATAATTTTGCGGTTCGGGTCCACAAAGCTTACAGTAGCCAGTTTGACTTATAAGGGCGGTTTGGCTTAAGCCGCTTAAGTCATAAAAGTTTTAACAGGTGTATCTCAAATGAAGTTACAGTACTCTTCATTTGGAAATAAATAAGCTTATCTGGTGTTGTTTACAAATTTTGCATTTTATGACGGACTCCCTACAGTGACCATAATCTCTCCTCTCTTGGGTTGGTACTTTGGGTTGCATGGTTACAAAAAATAATTCTTTTCACTGGAACATGACTGGAACCGATTTTGTACGCGACGACTGGGCATTTTCATGATTTGTAGCAGTTTTTGGCCGGTCAGGTTCTGGAGTTTCTTTAACACTTCCAGTTTCATTAAATCTTCGTAGGGTTTTTGAAACCGTCGACTTTAGAAATAGACTTTCGCTCAGGATGAATTTCATTGAAAGGTGTTACTACTTGAGCAAAACTTCGTCTTTTGTCACCGCAACCGATAATAATTAACAATTCTATGCGCTCAGTTTCACTTTGATGCACCATTTTTGCAAGAAACACCTTTTGTCAAATTAAAATTATTTTCAAAGGTAACTGTGTTACCTTTTTTTATTTATTCTTATTTAAAATAATATATTTTGCCATTTCAGTCAGAAAGAAAGTATGAATTAGAGCACAACTTTTTGTAACCCTGTATCTAATTTCAGTTGATTTGTACAATTAGTTCTCAAGATATTTAACCGTACATTCTAACGACCCTGCATAAAAATATTTAATAAACACGTACTTACTGGTATTGCAATCTTAACTTAACGCTAATTTTAACTTTTGTCTAAATTTAGGGATTTCTCTTGTTTTGACTTTGTTTACTTTTGCTTTTATCTAAAAATTGACGTTATTTCCAAATTATTAAAATCACACAGCTAATTATGTTTGATTTAAAATACAGTGATGGCAATTATCTTCTATACAATCGTATTGTTGGTTGCGTTTTAAATTTTTTGGGAGTATCGCTTCTCATGAGTAAGCCTGAATATCGTGATTATTCTTTCCATTCTGAATTTAATGGAATATCCATTACTGATTGTTTTTACGATATTGCGAAACCACAAAATAAGCATAGATAATAATTTATTGTTGTTAAAATATTTTCTAAAAGTGAGTTAGTCCGAATTGCCGTATCTTAAATTTTAAACTTGCAATGCTTTTTAATAATTTTCTGCAGTGGCAGTGCATAAGTAAAGTATATGGTCAAGTATTAGTTAAAGAACAAATACATTTTTTTCTTTAAATTTTCAGGCTCAATAGTGTAATTTTTTCTACAAATGTGCCACAGCTGCTTGATTATTCAATGACATTTTCTTAGAAAAAATATACATGCTGTACATATTATTACATTATTATATAGGTATGGCAGAACGATATAAATTTCAAATGGGACCCCACGGTCCGAGTGTGAGTTAAATGTTTTTTTTTGCGGTACAAAAGTGCTTAGTCCGCTCCTGAATTCACATATTAATCAGCTGATCGACGATAACAAATCTAAGTGAAAGCGAAACAAAAGTAAAACATAACAGCAGTACTTGTCAAGCCCACCGAGTTTATGATTCGCGATTTCATATCCAAACGAATTGGTATGGGTAACCTTAACAAGAACTTTTGAACACCTGCAAGATATCGCGAAAAAAATTTTGCATAACATAATGCACAACCCAGTTTTAATATCAACACGAACTGTCAGTGTTCCGCGTTGCCATCTTTTGTATCGCACATGCGCGTAAAGCCAGTCCTTCTGTCAAAACGAAACATGGCGTCTCATATGTATTTTAGATGTCAGATTGTGTTAAAAAAGTGAGTTTAAAGCGCGATTGACCGCGATGGATCACAAGAAGAGTCCGATTCGACGAGCAAAACGTCAGGCAAAGGTGTTAGAAGACAATTTCTGGGACTGCAGCGTATGTACATTCAGGAACACGGCGGAAGCTTTCAAATGTCTTATGTGTGACGTTCGCAAGGGCACTTCGACGCGCAAACCCCGCATCAACCCGCAGCTGGTGGCCCAGCAGGTGGCCACGCAGTTCTTGCCTGCGACGAGCCAGCAGAAGCGAGAGAAAAAAGACAAAAAGTCGCTGAAGAAACGCCGTCATCCGCCCAGGCTGAAGAACGTCGACCGCAGCACGGCGCAGACCCGCGAAGTCACCGTTAACAGCGTCACAGTCATCATCACCGAGTACAAGCCGAAGAGCAAGTCCACGGAGACGATCTCCAGCTCCAGTTCGTCCGATCACGGCTCCCAGTCAGAGTCCAGCATGGACGCGCGGTGAAGAAGTGCGCGGGAGAGTAGGAGCGCGGAGGCGGAAGGGTTGCGGCGGCGGCGGCGGCGGCGGACGTCGTGCACGCAGTCCGCACCATGTCAGTGACTCGTCGGACAATGACTTTTGACGTCACGCATATTGTGTTTGTTTATGGATTTCGTTCCCGCGAGGCTGGAGCGTCTTCGAACTCGTCGAGGATGGTGTAGACTATTTGATTCCTAGCTGTCACTGCCCTTACCAACAGTTGTTCATTGTAGGCGACTTATTTTTTTGTTCTAATTGATGTTTGAAGAAATTCAAAGACTGTGAAGGACTAACATAGACTTTATATATACCCGCATTAAATGCATTTATTTTATGTAATATTATTTCAAATAGGTAATTTGTATTATAAATTGTTGCTCATTGTTAATGTATTTATGGGTGAAGCTCTGTATGTTGATGGAAATGGTGTGTGATTAACTGGATGAATAAATCTCAGTTTTCTATTTTAAGTTGGTTTTTTTTTCTTTATTATTTGATGAAAAGGGTGTGATTGTTGACTAATGATTTTAAATGTCTTTCTTCGGTTGGAAGTTGGTTGTAGTTAAACTTAAAAGTTACACTCTGATCCACAAAATTTTTATTTAGTGTAGGCTGTGACCAACGCATGATAAATAGAGAGGGTAACATTTATTCGAAATAAGTAGGCTAAGCTGACATGTATTGATCACAGCCTACTCTGAATAAAAATTTTACGGATCATACGATATGTACAAAGTCGCAAAAAAGTACACCCCGATTAAACATGTATGTATCTTCAAAAATAGCTTTATACATCACTAGAAGACATAAATGCTTTAAAAGTCCCTAAAATTAACGCTATCCTTGTATCAGTGATCAAATGTGGAGGGTGTTATCAACTACCTCCTGAAGTAGTTAAATTTCAAGTTAAACAAAAATGTTCTGGGGAAAATTTTCTTTTTTTGAACTTATTTTACTACGCAGAGTTTGTGCAGTGCAATGGATTTCCTAACAATATTTCATAAAACATTTTATCCATAATGTGGCTACCCTTTATTATGCGTTATTTGCCCTTTACCGCAGAATATTTTAATATTTTATGCATTTTCAGAAGAAATACGGTCATGAAAAGGATAGTGAAAAATGAATGCAGTAGGTAAAAAGTTACAGTACATTTTTGAGATGAAAGTGGTAAAGTTGGTATCTAGGTATAAGATAAAATATTCAGCAGCACATCGTAGAAAATCATTAAAATAATTCTGTTATTCAGTTTGACATTCTTTGCAACACACTGAAGACACTGTGTAGGCGTACCTATTAATTTAAAAAAAATATATTATTCTGTTTTGCGGTTTTTTAGTACGTCGGCTTTACTCATGTTAATAAATGCATAACAGAAGCACAATAATTAAAGAAGGTAGAATTATTGTAAAAATAGCAACATAAATTTAGAAAGGATCTTTAATATTTAGCTATTCTAAAGATATTTTTTTTTATATTTTGTTGATTACATAATTAAAATAATTATTTAAACCAAAAGCAGAATGTAAGTATTTCATTTCCAACACTGTATGTACCTACATCCATCAATATGAACATTAATATTGCTTATAATTTGTTTTTTGTTAACACAATGGTAATTTTTTTTTAAGTAAGTATTTATACGTTGTAACTTATTTTCTTACTTCAAAATCCTTAGATGGTTTATCTAGCATTTTATTTACTCTGGTATTTGTAGTAACAAAATCTTTAGAACAAAATATTAATAATTTATTATCAGTAAAAAGAGTCAATAAATTACATTTTATATTAAGGTACGTATCATTTTTATTTACGGACGAAACAGCAATGGACCTAAAACACTCCCTGTGGCACTCCAAGATTATTAACAATAGGTTCAAATAACACTGTATTTCTTTACCAGCTAGTTGAAAATGTATCCATATTCTTACCTTTTTCCTGCGGGTTATAATGAAATAAAAAAAGTTGTCCCATTAAAAAATTAATAAGGTCACCTCAAAAGTTTATGGAGTAAATATTGGAAAAGCCGAGTTCTCTTCCGCCTAACAGGTACAAAAATTTTAAGCTGTCGCCAAAGCATTTTTTGGCAGACATTTATGTAGATGAAGATTCGCCATTCCCTCCTCCTATATGGGCTAAGAATTCGGCATCTTTCCAACAAACCTACTGTGAATCTTTGCATTCCATCAAATACAATGCCATTTTATGTACCACATCCAACCATACATCAGTTTTTAAATGTTTTGTTAAATTTTCAAAGAGACAGTTATATTAAAATTAGAAGCATAAATGATGCTGAATTATTTTAAATTGAAATGTCAAATTTTAAAAATTGTGTATTATTTCTCTTTTGTTTGACAAAAAATTGGTACTTATGATAATGCTAACGCTAAGCTTTTAATCTCTTTATGGCTACCTGAGGGTACTGGGAGACTTTTTGGTGTTTAGGTACAGTATTTTGAAGATATTTGGAAACAGAGTGAATCACTTTATGAGTGTCATTAGTCCCTGATCACCCTTCAACTACCTGCTATTGAGCTTAATCATAAAAGTACCCGAGTACAATTCGGCGAGCATACAATGAAGTGCAAAATTCTAACCTGCGGCTCGAGGCTTTGAAACATTTACATCTCGCTGAAAATGCAATAAAAGTATTTAACTATGTTTCCAAATATCTTTAGAAACACTTTACATACCTGGATGATAACTCGACCCTGCCCGTATGCTGAGAAATATGCCTTGGAATGTAATGTTGTGTCAATAAACATTTTTATTTTTCACATTTTCTCGACGTTTCAGAGCTCCTGATTGTTGTGAAATTTTTGAAGTATAGTGAACCAAGACCTATAAGGTTATATGGCCATCATAAAAGTAGTTGGCCGCAAATAAATACCCCCTTTGTGTGGTTCGCACTAAGCTTACCGGCTGGCAATAAATCATCTTCTAAACATTTCTTGCTCATATTTAACAGGGCCGACTTTCAAAGCGAGTGGTTATTTCGGAACCCTCAGCGGCTGCAGGTAGTAAAGAAATAGTGGAGTGGTGGATTTTCATATTTAGTGAAAGCCGCCCCTGAACGAAACCACAAGAGCCGGTCGAGCTGCAGTGGACACGTTATTTACGACCCTAAAACCTTTTCTATTGTAAACAACTTAACTTCGACACAATGGGATGATTTTATGATGGCCATATAACCTTATAACTCTTGGTTCACTATACATATTTTAAAAATACGTTGTAGATGTAATTAAAACACAACAAAAATTTGTTTAATACAATTTATTGTATTGATTTAAATGAAAAACGGCTTATCTCATTTTCCTGAAATTGTAATTAATAACGCAGTAATGTTGTTCTTAAATAGTAAAGTATTACATTATCCAATTTGGTATATTTATCCCTGCTAAAAAGTTGATGACGTCTTCACATTTATTTTTTTGAGAAAATCTTTGCTCTTTTTAACTTACACAAGTTAAAATCTCTATACTCTTAAAACAATATTTTTATTCCTGTGTAACATGCTACCCCCTAATTTGGAACGGTGACACAAGTGACAAGTGTCACGAACGATTTGATTCTAGCATTAGTGTATTTGAATCACGAAATATGGGGGATATCTCGTTTTGCCCCATTATGTCTCACCTTCCGTTAAACAAGAGAAATAATTACAGAACGTACTAATGTTTTATATTTACTTACTTAATCATTTTTACTGATAGTGCACATAAATCAGTGGTATCTCAGAAAGAGTGCAAAATGGTGCAGTATCATTTAAAATAAATTGAATTAAAGAAAAATGTGTATTGATGAAGTGTGCTTATTAAAAATTTTTTACGCTACCAGGTGGCGAAATTACAAAACATAAAACACCGTATTATTACAAAATAACTCATTAATAACTGCGTTAAAAAAAATTACAAAATATAAACAATTCATAATAAAGCCTACAATTTATGACTAGGTTATATAATTTACATGGAAAATATTACGCTGGCTGAAAACATATTGTGAAGTTTTGCTAACTACTTAGTGACTACAATCCACAAATAATGATAATAAAACAAGAAGCTGTTCTGTTCTAGGAACATGTCATGTTGCTGGTAAGTTTCTGGAATAGACTGATTATGTTGATCAGGGTAGATTAGCATAAAGCAGACTAAATCAGAGTAGCGTAGGTTAAGTCGTACGTGGATAAATCATCGGCAGTCACGCAAGATTCCTGGGGGTGGGGAGAGGTTAGAGAATAATAGCAAACCAATTAGTACGCTGTAATTTCAGGATCTCGAATGTCGTTTCGTCTTGTCAACAGTCGCAATAATGCATATTATTACTCGGTCTTAGTACCCGTAACCGTAGTCTCCCTTGAATGTCTGTCATTTCCGGGTCAGTGGTTAGTGCTCTAACAATACAAATTTTTGTATGGTACTAACCGCTACCAAGAGATTATTAAGCTATTCATTATATTATATAAATGTATATACATAAAACTAAGTACGGCTAATAGCTGAACTAGTTTTTTAGACAAACTATAAAACGTAGTACTGAAAATTTTTCGTTAAGCTATTTACTAATTATCTTTTGTTCAACTATCTTTAAAACACGTTAATACCACTGAAAGAAACTATAAATAATCTCATAACTCTGGTAGAATCAACTATAAAATATGTATGTATAAACATTCGATATTTGATTCCATAATATGTCAACATTGATCACACTGTATATGTCTTTTATATTTTATATTGATTTTTACATTTAATATGAACGAACTACGAAGCCGTACAAATCTGTTACTAAAAATGTTTGAATGAAAAATTAAAAACCCTGTTGGCCTCTATGTATTTCGCGTTATTTATTTTAATACGAAACCTTTTTATCTAAAATTAATCGTGCACGAAATGCCACAACTTCATCGCTACGATCTGGGGAAATTTGATCCACACTAAACTTCAAAACTCGTGCACATACATAAAGCAAAAAGAGCCTGGAATATACATAAACAAATCTCCGACATTTCAAATAACAAATTTCTAGAAAATCTTACTTGCATACATAGTACCCGAAATAACTTTCGGTGCTCGTTGGAATATTGTAAGTTTGACGGCAACTCATGTCAAGTGGACTACACATCTGCTGTCGGTGCGCTACCAAAACTCATTTGGACTACCAGACACGGGGTAACAGTGAAGTAATTTCGTTATATTGATGGCACTAGATTAATATTAATGGTTGCCAAAATGAAATTCCTGACTAAGTACAGTTTGCAATATGGCGTGGTTTAAAGGGTTTTTAATTGTTGTTTCATTAGAGTTCCAGACTTATGTTACGTTTCTACTTTGACTTGCGTCGTTCCCTTCCCTTCCATCAACAACAGATAATTTCTAATTTTTTGCAATAATAAAATTGTGTAATACAAGAACTGGACCGACTGCACGGGTCCTTATAGTTCCAAGACCAAAATAAAAACTAG